ATGATATTACTCTCATCTCTATTAATAAAACCCAGACCTGACCAGAGAGGTGAGGAGGATTCCGGGAGGTCACATGATATCACTCTCATCTCTATTAATAAAACCCAGACCTGACTGGAGAGGTGAGGAGGATTCTGGGCGGTCACATGACATCACTCTCATCTCTATTAATAAAACACGGACCTGACCGGAGAGGTGAGGAGGATTCTGGGAAGTCACATGACGTCACTCTCATCTCTATTAATAAAACATGGACCTGACCGGAGAGGTGAGGAGGATTCTGGGAGGTCACATGACATCACTCTCATCTCTATTAATAAAACACAGACCTGACCGGAGAGGTGAGGAGGATTCTGGGAGGTCACATGACATCACTCTCATCTCTATAAAACACGGACCTGACCGGAGAGGTGAGGAGGATTCTGGGAGGTAACATGACATCACTGTTATCTCTAATAATAAACACAGACCTCACAGGAGAGGTGAGGAGGATTCTGGGAGGTCACGTGACATCATTCTCATCTCTATTAATAAAATACGGACCTGACCGGAGAGGTGAGGAGGATTCTGGGAGGTCACATGACATCACTCTAATCTCTATTAAAAAAACACGGACCTGACCGGAGAGGTGAGGAGGATTCTAGGGGGTCACGTGACGTCACTCTCATCTCTATTAATAACACACAGACCTGCCCAGAGAGGTGAGGAGGATTCTGGGAGGTCACGTGACGTCACTCTTCTCATCTCTATTAATAACACACAGACCTGCTCGGAGAGGTGGGAAGGATTCTGGGAGGTCACGTGACGTCACTCTCATCTCTATTAATAAATAACAGACCTGACCGGAGAGGTGAGGAGGATTCTGGGAGGTCACGTGACGTCACTTTCATCTCTATTAATAACACACAGACCTGCCCGGAGAGGTGAGAAGGATTCTGGGAGGTCACGTGACGTCACTCTCATCTCTATTAATAACACACAGACCTGCTCGGAGAGGTGAGAAGGATTCTGGGAGGTCACGTGACGTCACTCTCATCTCTATTAATAAAACACAGACCTGACCGGTGAGGTGAGGAGGATTCTGGGAGGTCACATGACGTCACTCTCATATCTATTAATAAAACACAGACCTGACCGGAGAGGTGAGGAGGATTCTGGGAGGTCACGTGACATCACTCTCATCTCTATTAATAAAGCACAGACCTGATTGGAGAGGTGAGGAGGATTCTGGGAGGTCACATGATGTCACTCATTGCTATTAATAACCATATCAATGTTGGGGGGAGAGCCGGAAAGCACAGTGTGGACAGGGCTGTGCTGTGATTGGCTGGTCAAGGCTGATAAAGTCAGGGCTCTCCTCTATCTACGGACCACTTACTGGAAACATATGGTGGAATCCCCAGTGAAAACATCCTCAGTCTCAACACTTTCCATACTTGAACTTGAATTATACTGTACTCCTGAGCAGGGCCATGTTTACCCGCACAGGGATGAGCACAGGTGTACAGGCAGTCCCAATGATGTCAATTGGGAAATAGCATCTACCCAGACACATCCCCCATGTCCCAACATGACATCTGTATGGGTGCAGATGCGTGTCCCTGACCTCACACTGTCTGCATTCTGGGACCTGCACCCACATGGATGTCATATTGGGACACAACGGCTGTGCCTGGGTAGTTGCTCTGTCCCAATTGTCATCCATGGCACTGCCTGTACACCTGTGCAGGTAAACATGGCCTGCACAGGAGAACAGTATATAGAAAATTAAATATAGATGGTGCAGCGCTGGGACAATAGCAATATATAACAAAGAAATAGCAAACATAAAGATATGCATGAAACTTATAATAATAAAGTGATCACAGGTGCGTATAAGTGAAAACGTCCTTTTATAAACGTGAAACTCATAATCCAGGTGATCATGCAGAATTCTTCTGGTGTGACACAAATGATAAAATCACGTACTCACCAGATGCGCAATTTTATAGCACATAAAAAATATATATCTCTCATGAAGTCAGCTGGGTCATCAGGGAATACATCAATCCCAAGGAAAGGACCCGCTCCTGGATCATCACTGGCACGTTACACATCTCGTATGGATGAGTATACTGTGGGTAATGGGACTCACAATGTTTTGACCAAGTGCCTGAAGCAGACAATCCAAACATCCATCTATCTTGTCAGATGTGCAGTCAGATCCACTTAGCTTGAACTTCTCCAAGGTGTCACTTAAATTATCTGAGCCTCATTGTGATCTGGCGATGTGAATGAAAGCTTTCACTCAACTGCACATCTGACAAGCTAGATGGATGTTTGGATTGTCTGCTTCAGGCACTTGGTCAAAACATTGTGAGTCCCACTACCCACAGTATACTCATCCATACGAGAGGTGTAACGTGCCAGTGATGATCTAGGAGCGGGTCCTTTACTTGGGATTGATATATTCCCTGATGATCCAGCTGACGTCATGAGAGATATATATTTTTATGCGCTATAAAATTGCGCATCTGGTGAGTGCGTGATTTTATCATTTGTGTCACACCAGAAGAATTCTGCATGATCACCTGGATTATGAGTTTCACGTTTATAAAAGGACGTTTTCACTTATACGCACCTGTGATCACTTTATTATTATAAGTTTCATGCATATCTGATGCACATTGTCACTTTGTATCAGCACTTTTCAGTTCATATCCTATATGTATTTAATTCATACCTTGATATATAGTGCTTATCTTTATCTTTGCTATTTCTTTGTTATATATTGCTATTGTCCCAGCGCTGCACCATCTATATTTAATTTTTATATTTTGAAGGAGTATTTGGTATCTCTTTGGTGTATTCAGCAGCTTATCAATTAGCGCTCACTTTCACAATTTTTTTTTTAAATTTTGTCAGGAGAACAGTATAGTCAGCCCTGTGTGGTCGAGGTCTTTTAATAATGCAGCACCGTCCTAGCTAGCTAGTGGGAGCTAGATGATTATTTCTTAGTTACAAGGCTGAGTGGCAGCCGAGGAGAAATAGACAGAGGGGGTGAAATTTGGGTCAGGACTGAGAGGCTCTGCAGATCTGTTCACTGATACCTCTCCCTGATCTAGAGACTTGGAGAAGTCTCTAGAACTCAATGGGCGGGGGTGAGGAGGAGTTGGTCTGCACTCTTCAGGGATTCTTACCAATCCCCAAGCAGGAGGCTTGGCATGGGGTCAGGACAGCCCTTAAGAGTGACTGCGCCTGCTTAGTAGCAGGAGAGTTCAAGTTGAAGATGGAGTAAGCAGGATGGAATATGGTGCCTGGGAGGAAGGGGCCTACCTACAGGTGGAGGAGCTGGAAGGGAGGATATCTCAGTCTCAACAGTCCCCTGAGAGAGGACAGCCTGGGAAGCAGGGACAGAGTCAGCCTAGCATAAGGCCTGAAGACAGTCGCCAACCCACAAGCTATCAGGAAAGGACCGAGTGACCCCACACCCCTGGGGCAGATAAGGGGAAAGGGCATTCTGATAGGAAACCTGACTAGCCTGCATCTGGGACTGCTGATCTTCAAGTGACAGATTCTGGGTCCCCTTGGCCAGGGTTTCCTTCAGGCAGCTGGGTGAAGAGGAAATTTCATCTGGGGTCTGAGGTGGTATGCAAAGGGAGGTTGGAAAGCTCTCCAAAGAAGAAAAAGCCTTCTGAGCACTTGTCCATAGTTCCAGGAAGTTGTCCTCAGCCCTTAAGAGTGACTGAGCCTGCTTAGTAGCAGGAAAATTCGGGTGGATGATGGATTGAGCAGGATGGAATATGGAGCCTGGGAGGAGGGGGCCTACCTACAGGTGGAGGAGCTGGAAGGGAGGATCTTTCAGTCTCAACTGTACCGAGAGAGGACAGCCTGGGAAGCAGGGACGGAGTCAGGTTAGCATAAGGCCTGAAGGCAACCACCAACCCACAAGCTATCAGGAGAGGACCGAGTGACCCCGCACCCCTGGGGCAGATAAGGGGAAAGGGCATTCTGATAGGAAACCTGACTAGCACGCATCTGGGACTGCTGATATTCAAGTGGCAGATTCTGGGTCCCCTTGGCCAGGGTTTCCTTCAGGCAGCTGGGTGAAGAGGAAATTTCATCTGCGGTCTGAGGTGGTACACAAGGGGAGTCTGAGAGAGCTCTCCAAAGAAGAGAAAGCCTTCTGAGCATTTGTCCATAGTTCCATGAAATTGTCCTCAGTTGAACAGTTCCTTGGGCATCCCATGTACCCCACGTCCCCATCCAAGTTATCAACCCTTTAATAAAATCACAAAAAAACAAATTCAAGGACTGTTTACTGTCGCTGGAGTGTGAGGCTGGAATGAAATGTGTGTGTTGCCTGGCTGGGCAGGACTATAAGGGGACCCAAAACTCTAGCGATTCCTAAGGGGGAAGTGCTACAATAAAAAAAAACGTTGTATTCTAATTGAAATTTTTCACAATAGTTATACAATAAAATTATTGGGGTTATTTTTTTGTGCGTGGACTTTACTGAAACCATAAAGCGTGCATAAATATGCAATACATTGGAAGAATGCACCACAAGGACACCGGTAAAGTGTTGAACCGTAAGCCTGAATTTTTTTAAAGATCTCCAAAAGATGGCTTTTACTGAAAGTGGCACACAAAGACAGGAAGTGATGCAACAGACCGGAAGTTCCGGGTGAGAGGTGAGTCAGGAGGAAGTAGAGAGGGGCCCTTGCTTGAACTGGCAGCAGAGGAGGTGATAAGATTTTATGTTCTATTAGGATTAGCAATTGTATGCATTTTACAGAATAGGCAAGGTTAGGAATAATAAAAATGCTGTCAAAGAACAGATTTCATAGGTAAGATATGTGGGAAAAAGAGTATTCAAGGTATGACAGTGGGCCGTATGAACAGGAGAGGAGGTCTACAAAGATTCTGAAGGTGTTGACCAAGGGAGCCGAGTTTATGGGACATTCTCCAGTAACAGACAAGGGATGTGTCTGGATGGTGACTGTATCATTGTGTGTGTCAGGTTCCTATAAGGTGTCAGGGTGTCACTGTCTATTTCTCCATGGAGGAGTGGGAGTATTTAGAAGGACACAAGGACCTCTACAAGGACGTCATGATGGACAATCAGCCGCCCCTCACATCACCGGGTAAGAGGAGACTTTATTGGAAAGGAGAGAGCAGTACGGAGGCTCCACCTAGATCCCCCATCATCTGATAAACACAGAAACAATGGATTCATTCAGTGCGTGTGTTTCCTACAGGTGGATCCAGTAATGGGAACCCACCAGAGAGATGTCCCTGTCCTCTGTATTCCCGGGATTCCACACAGGAAGGTCACACCATCCCTCACCATCATAAGGCAGATGGATCCAGTAATGGGAACCCCCCAGAGAGATGTCCCTGTCCTCTGTATTCCCGGGATTCCACACAGGAAGGTCATACCATCCCTCACCATCATCAGGTAGATGGATCCAGTCATGGGAACCCACCAGAGAGATGTCCCCATTCTCTGTATTCCCGGGATTCTACACAGGAAGGTCACACCATCCCTCACCATCATCAGGTAGGTGACAGTGAACAAATAGATCCTGAAAAAGAATTCTCAGCTAAGAGAGAGGACATTTTACTATGGAATCTTTTCTTACCTTTTACCGATGTATTCTACCATTTTTGGGCTAGGTTGCAGAACTGAAAGACAGCAAAATTGAGGTGAAAGAGGAAGAAGATGAGAAATTCATGTATGGAGATCAACAGTCTATGGAAGGGAGTGGTCATCTGTATTCTCAGGATTCCACACAGGAAGATCACACCATCCCCCACCATTTTCAGGTAGATGGGATTGAGCAAAATAAATTATTCCAAGCTAAAAGAAGGTTCCTTTATGTAATCTGGTTACTCTTTATAAATGTATTCTATAATGTTTGGGGTTTAGGAAGAACTGAAATACATCAAAGTTGAGGTTAAAGAAGAAGAAGAAGAGACGTTTGTGAGTGGAAATCAGCAGTCTATGGAGGAGGGGGAGATGATTATGAAAAGTAAACCGGAGGAACTTTCTCTACATATTGAAGCAAGTAAGTCATAAACACTAAATTCAGAAACCGTTCACATTTTTATTGTTCTTTAATAAGTAGAAAATATGTATTTACTTTACTAGGGTGAATAAAAAGTTGTCCATCAAATTCACACCAAAAAATAAAAAAAAAATTTATAAAGTTTGACCCAATATTCTCTAAAGAACATAAAGAATTCTTTCCTGTTCCCAAAAGGCAATTGAATAGCAACCTGGACCAACATATAAAAGGTCCATCTCCATTCCTTAGTAAAATGTCATGTTCCCAACAAATGAGGAAGAGATACTGGACACCATATGGAAGGTCCATCTCCATTCCTCAATACAACGTCATGTTCCCAACAAATGAGGAGGAGATACTAGACACCATATGAAAGGTCCACCTCCATTCCTTAATATAATGTCATGTTCCCAACAAATGAGGAGGAGATACTGGACACCATATGAAAGGTCCATCTCCATTCCTCAATATAACCTCATGTTCCCAACAAATGAGGAGGAGATACTGGACACCATATGAAAGGTCCATCTCCATTCCCCAATATAGCGTCATGTTCCCAACAAATGAGGAGGAGATACTGGACACCATATGAAAGGTCCATCTCCATTCCTCACTATAACGTCATGTTCCCAACAAATGAGGAGGAGATACTGGACACCATATGAAAGGTCCATCTCCATTCCTCAATAGAACGTCATATTCCCAACAAATGAGGAGATACTGTACACCATATGAAAGGTCCATCTCCATTCCTCAATATAACGTCATGTTCCCAACAAATGAGGAGATACTGTACACCACATGAAAGGTCAATCTCCATTCCTCAATATACAGTCATGTTCCCAACAAATGAGGAGGGGATACTGTACACCATATGAAAGGTCCATCTCCATTCCTCAGTAGCTGGACCAATTTACAGAATATAACACTTGGAAGCTTTAAACGAGGAATACTTGTGACAATCATTTTTAAATTGTTTTCCAACAGATGGATGTTATGCCTGGAATACCAAGGAGAGATATCCTATTTGTACAAATATTAATGGAGAAGACAATCGCATGGTACAATATGCACCTGGAGATCATAGCATTAATCAAAGAATGCATCACCTACCTTACCCTTTTCACACTTCGATGGATCCCTCTAATCCTGAGGAGTCGTCTGATAGATCACATTGTGTTACTCTAGATAGCGCATATAGTTCACCAGATCCATCTAATCCCAAGGAATCTTCTTTAAGGCATGAAGGAGTTCACAAAGTGAAGAGTTTGTTTACATGCTCAGTGTGTGGGAAATCATTTACTCGAAAAAGAACACATCGCCAACACCAGAGATTGCATACGGGTGAGCATCTCTACTCGTGTTCAGAATGCCATAAATGTTTTATTGACAGAGGACATCTTGTTAGACATGAAAGAATCCACACAGGTGAACGTCCTTATTCATGTTCAGAGTGTGGGAAATGCTTCACGCAGAAAGGAGACCTTCGTATACACCAGAGAATTCACACAGGTGAAAGGCCTTATTCATGCTCAGAGTGTGGGAAATGTTTTACAGATAAGAAGGTTCTTCTTGCACACCAGAAGTATCACACAGGAGAGCGTCCTTTCTCGTGCTCGGAGTGTGGAAAGTCATACATTGTTAAAAGTGAACTTATTAGACACCAGAGAACTCACACGGGTGAGGGAGCGTCCTTTCTCATGTTCAGAGTGCGGGAAATCTTTTTACTCAGAAGGGAACCCTTCATAAACACCAGAATAATTCACACGACGCGCGAGCGCCCTTTCACATGTTCAGAGGTTGCGGGAAATCTTTCATTTCATTGAGAAAGGAAAACTTATTATAACACCAGAGAAGTCACACAGGTGAGCTTCCTTTTTTCCTGTTCAGAGTGCGGGAAGGGTTTTATTGCAAATGCAAAACTTCTTAGACACCAGAGAACTCACAATGCTAAGGTTCCCCTATCCTGCTAGTGAGCAAATATAACTAAACATCACAAAACATTTAGCTGCTGTTGTAGTGTGGATGGTGGGAGGAGAACTGTCAGAGTTATATAGTGTGGATGGTTGGTGGGAGGGGAGATAGTAGGTGTGGAATGCGGTTGGGAGAGCTGTCAGAGTATATGCTGAAGTTTGGATGTGAGGGAGGAGAGAGCTGTACGAATAACAAAAGTATGGTATAGCTGGAAGGACAAAGGTGACAGGAAGTCGTGGCAGTAGAATGTAGTGTGGTGCAATGGAGGATTGGGAGTCCAGCTGGTGTCATGAGCAATGTTGTAGTGGATGGTGGAGGAGAGGAGTCAGTCGAGAGGTTATTTTAAGTGTGGGATGGTGGATGAGGCGAGTTGTCAGTATGATTAGTGAGTTAGCGATGCTGGTAAGAGATTCTGCTCAGAGGGGTGGGGGTGTGTGGCAGGTATGTGTGGGTGTCATGAGTGAGCTGTCAGATGATAGTTGTAGCGTGGATGCGTATAGTGGGGGCGATGCTGTTCAGAGAGGGGGTAGGGGGGGCAGGGGGCTGAGGATGGTGTGTAGGATAGGGGGGGGCAGAGCTGGTTCGGGGTAGCGAATGTAGCTGCCTGGAGTGGGGGGAGGAGAGGTGTCTAAGAGAATTGAGTAAGGGGGGTCGGTGGGAGTCGGGCTGGGCGGAGGTGTAGTGTGTTAATCGGGCGGAGGAGAGCTTTGGTAGAATGTAGGTAGGACCGGTGGGTAGGAGATCTGTCAAGAGGAATAGTAGTTTTTGTGTGATGGAGGAAGAGAGCGGTGTTAAGAGATGTGGGGAGGAGGATGGTGGGGAGTTCAGTTGAAGCTGTCAGAGAATGTATTTATGACTTAGGTCAAGGAGAGAGTGGATGTCGGAGCAGATCGCTAGTATGGATGCGAGTGAGGCGGCAGCTGTTATAGGGCGAGTAGTGTGGGATGGTGGGGGAGGTTGGAGAGATTTCTGTCCGAGGAGAGATGTTAGTGTGGATGGCTTTAAGGGAACGGACGCATCTGTCAGAGAATTAATGGGTGCGGATTGGGGGTGGAGGAGAGGCTGTGGTCAGGTGGAGATGTAGTGGGCGGGGATGGTGGGTTGGTGACAGTAGGGGTGTGTTTGGTTGTTGGGGTTGGGTAGTATGGGTGGGAGGAAGTGACTGGTGGGGGAGGATAGCTTGTCAGGGTTGTAGATATGTCAAGTAAGCGATTGAGTGTTTTATAGGGGGTGGGTGAGCTGTCAGAGGAGGCGGTTGGTGGAGATGGTTGGAGGGTGGTGTGTAGGTGAGGATTGGCCTGATCTGCTTTGGAAATTGTAGTGTGGATGGTTGGGGTGGGGTGAGGTGCGAGAATTGATATGTGTGGATGTGGGGGATAGGGTCGTGCCTGTGGGATTAGGTGGGTAGGTGTAGAATGGTGGAGGGGTGGTAAGGAGGCGTGTTAGTAGGAGATGCGGTGTGAAGTGGTGGAGGGTGGGCTGCATCGGGGGTTGGGGTAGCGGAATGCGAGGATGTTCGGGAGGTGTTTGGGCGGTGATGGCATGGTTGGGAGCTTGGGTGGTTTCATTAACAGGTGGAGGTTCAGGACTGATCAGAGAAGTGGAAAGATCGGTTTGGGAGGAGAGGTGGCTGAAGGAAGGCAAGTGGGATATGGGGAGTAGTAGGTGGAATGGGGGGGGGGTGGGTAGGCAGAGCTGTATGAGTGTCAGGTAGGGTCTCTGTTGTGGTCACTCCTGGGACAATAATATCGTGTGGGGGAGGGTGGGCCTGTCAGAGATGTGGTAGTGGGGAGCGGGTGGAGATAGGCGGTTTGATGTCGAGTTATGTGAGTGCGACGCGGAGGTGATGTGGTGCGTGGTGGGTAATTATCGGTACCGAAGCTGGAGGTCTGTGGGGGCTAGTTGTGGGTGGTACGCGGGGCATGGGTGGAGGGAGGAGCGCAGTGAAATGGGACCACAGAACTGGACCTCACGGTGTGCAGTGGATAGGGAATTGCGTTAAAGGGGAGCTGTCGAGAGGGTATGGGCCCCCGGTTCTCTCACCCCAGATGAGGCTCTTGCAGTAGACACATACCAAGTCTACACCCAGTGTAATGTCGGCCCATGAGGTGGAAGTAAGTGGGGCGTTGTTCAGATGGTTTGGTATAATGGTGCTGCAGGGCGTGCTAGGGTCACGCCTGCGGCTTGTGCGAAAATGGGGCTACCGTGTGCGGAGAAGTAGTGTGGGTGGTACCCCCCCCCCCTCACCGATGTGTGAAACTAGCCCCTTAGAAGGGATATTTCCCGCATTGACTGAGGAAAGATGTGGCTTGTTCTCATTTCGATTGAAAGAGTTATGGGGATGCGGAGAATGGGGGCACCGTGGATGGCTGCGGATGACCTTAAGAGTAGTGCCCCGCGTAGGGTGCGGACGTTGGGGGGTGGAGCCCCACGCGGGGAGCGGTAGGAGGGTTGTTGGTCATGGCCTCCGTGCGGCTGGGGGGCGAGTGTGTGTGTGTGTGTGTGATACTACGAGATAGGAGGACGCCGGTTTTTGAGGGCTCGGAGGAGGTGCGAGGGTGTCGCGGCAGAGTGTTGGAGCGCGTGCTGTCGGTGAGGTGTCGGGATTATGGAGGCCACCGCGGGCGGGATGCGTGGTGGAGTGGTGTTGGGCGCCCCGCTGGGAGATTGAAGCGGATGTTTGTGGATGGGTTGGAAGTTTGCGGAGGGGTGCGGATCCAGGTGACGGGAGCCTCGGCCTGGGGTGCGGGAGTGCAGAGGGTGTATGGAGAGCCCGTCGGGATCGGACGGGGGTGAGGTGGGGTGTCATTGAGCCCAGTGCGGCCTGGGAGTCGGATAGGTGAGGGTGAAGGAGTTTGGAGCCTATTCGGGGGGTAGAGTCGAGTGGCTAGCCTACGCGAGGTGTGTGGGTGTGTTAGAGCCTGGCGTAGGCGTGTGGGTTGAGAAAGGACGACTCTTGGGACTAGAGACCAGGAATGATTAGCAGCGTTGTAGGAAGTTGTTCTTTAATATAACTTTTAGTGCTTGAATAGGAAAATAGTCCCTTGTTAAGAGATTAGGAGTTTATTCCCATTTAATATGAGTGCGCCTCCTCATTTGCTGCACCAATCACGATGCACAGATTCCGGTTTAGAACTGAGGAAGAGGGAGGAGCTGGTCGAGATTGGATGGGGGAGGAGAGGTTAAAAGTAGTGGGATGGGAAAAGAGCTTTTCAGAGAAAGTGTGTGGTGTGGGAAAGATGTCGGAAAGTAGTGTGGATGGTGGAGGGAGCTGTCGGAATTGTGGGATGGGGGGGGGGAGAGCTGTAAGAATGTGTGGGATGGGGGGGGGAGGAGGTTCAGAGAATGTATGTGGTGGTGGGGGGAGGGGGAGCGTCAGACAAAGTTCCCCCCCCTTTGGAAATTAAATGGAGGAAACCCCTGGGGAAGAAAACCTTTGGGGGTGTTTTCAGCTAATGGGTGTTGGGGGTACATTGGGGAATTATTGGTGTTTATATTATCCGAAACTAAGCCTACCGGGTCTAAATCTCTATCCCCATGTCAGCAGGGGCTCAGGAACGTTTTGTTTCCAACAAAAAACCTTTTTCCAAGAAGGGAAGACATACCAATCAAAAATAAAGATGCCAATAAGTACGAAAAAATGATGAAAAAAAAATAAAAAATAAATTTGTCCTTTAAAACTTGCTTTAGTTTTACCATATGTTTTGGTATTTAAAAGAATACAAATGTTTTTTTTTTTTAAAAATTTTTGGCATTTAATTATGCCCTTTTTCAATGTTATTTGTGCATGCAACAAAAAAAAAATAAATTGGGGCAAGATTTAAAAGACCCCAGGTGAGATTTTTATCCCCCAAAAATAAGACTTGATTTAAAAGTGGTTAAAACACAGACAAGAAGGTTGGGTGGAAAAAAAGGAAATTTCGGGGTTTAGGGGATTTGGGAGGAGGTTTTTTATTTCGTAGAACCCTTTATCCAAAATTTACTCCCGAACCTCTGGTTTTTTAGCCCCATTCCCAAAATTTGAACCATTTTTCCCAACGTCCTCCCGAGCCTCGGGTTTTTAGAGGATTGGGCCCCAAAATTTGAACCATTTATCCAACCCTCCAAACCAAGCCCTTTTTTCCAGGTCCCTAGCCCAAAAAAATTCCCGGGGAAAGGGGGGGCCCCTTTTCCCTTTTCCCCCCGTCCTCCGGGCCCTTTTTTTAAACCCGGGGGCCAAAAGTTTCCCCCCATGGGGGGTTGAGGGAGGACTCGGGGGGAAAGGCGGTCCAGTTCCCCAACCCCAAAACTTTGGGGGGGGGCCCCATGTTTTTTTGGACTTTGCTTTTTGCACTGGGGCAGTATGTGGAAAGGAAGGGGCCCCCCCCAACTTTTCCACAAAAATTAGCATAAATTGTTTTAAAATTTTGCCCTTTAAATTTCCCCTTATGGAACTAGGGGGCGCCCAAACCCCCGAAAAACAAACCCCCACCAAAACCCCCCCCCAAAACTTTTCACTTGGCACAACGTCAGGCAAATACCCTTTTCCGGCAATGCCAAACCCCGAATGCCCCTTGGATTGCCAGACAAAAGTGTGATTGGTTCCCCCCGAGAATATCCCCCATGCTCTAGAGTGGGGGTTGGGTTTAACCCCGGGATCCCCAGGGTTTGCATTGATTTGATGGAAGGTGGGAAAGCAGCTGCTCGGCCCCGGAAACCATTTCCCTAGTTCAAACCCCTTTGTTGGGTTCCCCGAAGGCCCACCCAAATTTGGAGGTCTTTAGTATTGTTGCAGGCAGTTGGGGTTTTTCGCACTTGCGCTTGCATGCGTACCCCCGCTCGAGGAGTGGCCTACCACTTGGTGGCTGAGTGCTGTTGTTCCCCGTTGCTTAC